GCTGAAGCCAACTTCTCCTTTAAACAAGCTCACTGATTGGACAGGAGCATTTCCTGCGACCTCACAATGAAACCAAACAGCGTTGGCGACAAACAGGCTTTTATTTTGAAAGTCACAGTTGACTGGGCATGGTCACCTACACAAACGTGTACGTTTTCAGGATTCGCCTACACGTGAAGACTCTTAGCACACAGATCACAGACAGGAAGTGCTCACAGCGTACGACAAGACAAACATCATTCAACCAATCAGGATGGAGGATGAGGTTGGCTAACGCGGGCTCGACGTTCAGGCGAAGTTCTTCTTCAGGAAGTTGATGAGGCCGTTGGTGGACGAGTCGTGGGAGGTCACCTTCGAGTCGTCCTTCAGCTCCGGCTCGATCTTCTTGGCGAGCTGCTTCCCGAGCTCCACCCTGCGGCGGAAAGAGGCGGGTCAGCAACACAACTTTACACAGCAACGCTGGTTGGTCAACAATTATTTTGTAAGGGAAATGTACGGAAGACCACTGGTGCCAATGAGGCAAGTTTGACTAAATATATAAAAGGTTACCTGACATAAGCACAAAATGAAAACATGTAAAACTAGACGGAGTCACGATGAAGGGTAAGCATGTTTGAAGACGTGATAAAATAAATACACAGTGAAAATTCATTGTTTTCATTTAAATCCAAAAAACCAACAACTTTAAGTTATTTAAAAAAGGGAATGTATGGAGGTCTATTAGTGGCAGCAAAGTGACCGTTCAAGATTGTTAAAAAAATTTAAATTAAAAAATTAATGTTTAATTGTAAAATAAAACCCAAACGTGGAAGCTTAATCTACCTTAAACCCGAGTTTAGCCCCGCCCAGGTGTGACTCACCCCCACTGGTCGTAGCTGTTGATGTCCCACATGACGCCCTGGACGAAAATCTTGTGCTCGTACATGGCTGAAAGAACAACTGTGTCAGACTCCGCCTCTTTAAATGGACACACCTGAGACGTTATTGGTGCAACTGAAGTTTACAGTAAGTGACTCCGCCCACAGCAGCATGTACTCACCGACCAGAGCCCCCAGTATGAACGGGGTGAGCTTCTGGAAAACGATCGAGTTGCTCGGCTTGTTCCCCAGAAACACCTGCAGAGAAAAACACGTCGACACGCTGTACCGTCACCTGACCGTTTCTACTCTGATGGTCACACACAGGTGTGTCCAGGTGTGCGCTCTTACCTTGTGCGGCAGCAGCTTCTCCAGAGCGTCTCCCGACATGCCGGCGGCCTCCAGCTCTTTCCGGGCCTCGTCCGGAGTCTTTCCCTTCATCAGCGCTTCGGTCTGAGCCAGGAAGTTTGCCACCAGGATCTGCACGAAGCACACAACACCTGTGAGGCGTGACATCATCCAGGTGTGCCCTCGCTTCCTCCAGCTAATCAGTTCAGCCTGGCTAAGGTAACGTTAAATGTCCAGACCTTGTGGTGGAGGTTGTTTCTGATTGGATGCTGAGACTGAGCAGGAATGAGGAAGTCAGCAGGAATCATACGAGTGCCTGAGGAAGGACAAGCAGTCTGTTAGTCTGGGTATTGATCATTGATCACAGGCTGTTCAGACGACGGCGAGCTCCAATCAGATCAGACCAAAGAAGAATCTGTCTGGCCTCAGTGATCCAGAATCTGTGGGAGGAGCCCTGTGGTGTCCAATCACAGCGTCGCGGATGTTCTCAGATCAATAAGCAGCAAAGACACTCAGGTGTGCCTCTCACGTCTCTTATTAAATAAATGTTTACAAAAGGACCTGTGCAGGTGTTTCCACAGGGGGAGGAGCTTCAGGCTCGGGCGCTCCAGGTACGCACGTCGTCTGTGACCACTTTAACTCACCTGTGCGTGGATCATGAAGGTTTGCAGGTGTGATAAGCTGCCCTGATGTCACTAACGAGCGGTCACGGTTACATAATTAAAGGGTGGAGCTTCACCTTGGTGGATGAGCTGGTAGAAGGCGTGCTGCCCATTGGTCCCCGGCTCGCCCCACACGATTGGTCCAGTGTGGTAGTTGACGCGGGCGCCATCTTTGGTGATGTACTTCCCATTGGACTCCATGTCGCCCTGAAGACCAAACAGACGGGTCATCAGCGCCGACATTCATCACGAGCACGAAGCTCCACCCCCACGCCGCAGTCTGATGTAATGTACGGTTTCTGTGGTCTGCTGCGCGTTACGTGACGCAGGCGTCACACCTGCAGACCCGCCTCCCTGCGTCACTGACCTGCTGGAAGTAGGCGGCGAAGCGGTGCATGTACTGGTCGTAGGGCAGCATGGCGTGGGTCTCTGCCTGGAAGAAGTTGATGTACCAGACGCCGAGCATGGCGAGTAGCACGGGGGCGTTCTGCTCCAGGGGGGCACTGCGGAAATGGTTGTCCTGGGAGGAGGAGGGGGGAGGAGGGGGAGGAGAGTCCTGCTGTCAAGCTGCACGCGCTCTGACTGCAGGTGAGATGTTCACCTGCAGTCAGCAGAGCGTGTGCAAGTAGTGTGCACAGAGCGCGTGCAGAAACAAAGGGCGCCATTCTCTCGCCTATCACAGTCGAGCCCGAGTTGTGAAAGTGTTCAGTAACTTGACGGGAAGCGTGGAAACATTTCAGAGTGACGCAACGATCAAATAACACGTGTCGAAATCCGTTTTTGTCCCGCGGACGAACGTGAAGTAA